AAATATTGATTAGAACAAAAGTTATTTCATTTGTCAGAATGTCAGATCTCTGTGGGACACCCTGTATATATAATATATAGCACCTATAATATTATATTATTAACAATATTTAATTTTTATTTCAAATATCGGAAATTTAAAAAGTCTAAATCGTCTCTTATTATTGATGATATACATATATAGTCATTGTATATAGCGTATTGACTATATACAATGTTTGCAGCTTAGCTTAACAAATTAACAACACGACAGTGTGTGTGTTATTAGGAAGTAAATTTGAAATTTGACTGTGAAACATTTAATTGATTTATATGTATAATTTTACAAATAATATTTAATGTCAGTATAAGGTCAAAGAAATTATTCGAACTTATAATAGCGGCCTCTACAGAATTGGTCAATACGTGTTTGGTGTTTAKAATATTATATATAATATTAACCTACTTGCAAATCGTGGATCGTTGGCTGGTGTCCCATACCACGTGGCCGAATTCCCGTACGACGTTACCATGTCCGGCTGACAATATTGAGGTGGCGGCGGCGGCGGTGCCGGGAATTGCGGGTGCACGTGCCAGCTGGCCGCGGACGGGACCGCTCCAGGGACGTTATTATTGTTGTTGTTGTTACCTCCACCGCCGGACATGGCTCCTGGGCTTCCGGAGGCACTGCCACCGGTGCTACCGGCCGTGCTGGACCTGTGGTACGGAGAAGGCGAGCCGCACAGCTCGAGCTTACGGTATTCCTCGATTGGGCTGAGTATGTCGGTAACAGAGAACGGTGTCGTGTGCGCGGCGTGATGGTTGTGATGGTGGTGGTGGTGCGGTTTGGGGCTCAGCGACATCGCTAGGTCAGCGCTGTTGAGCTCCGGCAGCAGGTCGCCCGAGCTCTCGGAGAACACGGCTGATGCCGCCGACGAAGCGGCCGTCACCGAGAGAGCCACTTTCGCGGTTTGTCCGAAAAATTTTTACCCGGAAAAACGGTCGCGCCGAATTTTTTTCGCCGTTTTTTATTTTTCGGCGCCGGCGGAATGCGGAATCGGCGACTGCACTATCACGTCATCGCGGCGAACGAGTTTTTTCCAAATATTTTTAACGCGATCCGCGTGTGTGGTGGCGCGGCCGAGAAAAAAAAGGAAAAACAATAATAATAATAGCACAAAATAAATAAACTCTGAGGCTCTCGTATGTGGAGCACCACCCGAAACTAGTGTCACTCGAAACTGGACTACTCGACGTCGACGAGAGGACTCGAGGGCCGCACTCGAGTGGCGGAGCCCCTCGGCCCCGCGCGACCCAACCGGCCGTGGGACGGAACCGCGTGGAGGCGTGGCCGACGGCGACCAATAGCTGCGGTACCTGTGCCGAGACAATGCGAAAGGTTGCGATGAAAAAAAAAAAGAATGAGAGAAAGAGAAAAAAGTTTTACACTGCAGCGCGCGTATACGTATATAC